ACAACTATGGTGGTATCTAGCCTTATACAGTCGTGCAAGAGTGAAAGAAGGAGCCTGAACGAGTTTCCAAGCTTGTTTCGCAAGCATTGCTATGTTAAACAAGTCAAAATCCTTGAACCCAAGTCTACCCTGGAATTTTCTAACACAAACCGCCGACCACGAAATCCGGTGAATACCATTATCCTTATCCTCACCCGACCACCAGAACTGAGATAATTGGCTACTCAAGCAGCGACAGCTCGTAGTAGGAAGCCTGAAGGAAAGCATAGTATAAACCAGAGTTGCCGAACCAACCGATTTGATCAAAACCTCTTTGGCTGCAAGGGAGAGTGCTTTGGACTTTCAGCTACGAATACGACCAACGAGGGCATCTTCCACATACTGGAACGTTAGTACTTTTGATCTTTGGACTTGTGAAGGCAGTCCAAGGTACTTGTCCAGGGGTTCTATTGTTGTAATCCCCAGCTGCCCAGCAATCATTGAAGCTTCCTTATATGATACATTTGAGCTGAAGAAGACAGATGACTTGGAAAGGTTCACTTTAGCTCCACTCGCTTGTTCATAAAGGTGGATAAGGTGAAGAAGGGAGCTGCACTCTGAAGAGGATGCCCTCAAGAAAAGGTATGAGTCATCCGCAAAGAGGAGATGTGAGATAGTGGGTGCGTGACGATGGATTTCCAAACTGTGAAGTTGATTTGAGGAAAGGGCGCCGGAGATCATTGCTGAGAAGGCTTCAGTGTAAATTGAAAATAACATGGGAGAGAGTGGATCCCCTTGCCGAATGCCCCTTTGAGGTTGGAAATATCCATGCTCGGTTCCATTCAGAATTAGCAAGAAAGAAACCGTAGTCACACAAGCTCTCATCCACTTTATCCACTGTGCATCAAATCCCAGCGCCTCCATAACTGCAAACAGAAATCCCCATTCGACGCGATCATATTTTTTTTCCATATCTAGTTTGAGAGTCATCCATTTATCCCGACCATGAGTATTGATCTTGAGAAATTGCATCACCTCATGGGCGATAAGGATGTTGTCCGAGATGTCTCTACCCTTAACAAAAGCATTATATGATTCACTTATAATATCCGGTAAGATCTTGCTAAGTCAAACAGAAAAGACTTTGGTTAGCACCTTGTAAAATACATGGCACAAACCTGTCGGTCTCATTTGCTTCATGAACTCCGCGTTGGGGACTTTCAGAATCAATGCCAGTAGAGTGTGATTGAAGTTATGAAGTAACCGCCCAGAATGGAAGAATGAGAGGGCCGCTTTTGTGGCCGAGTCCCCAATTATATTCCAGAAGAACTTAAAAAATGCCCCGGTATATCCATCCGAGCTCGGTGCCTAGTGAGGCCTAATGCTAAACACAGCCTGTCTTATCTCATTGGGGCTGAAAGAAGACGGTTCTGATCATCCGATATCTTCCTGGGAAGTCCTAACGTAGCAAGGAGGAAGTGAGGGGTGTTCCCATTCGAATTAGGTTCTTCATCATAATGTACCCCACCCTCCTCATCACAATTAACTTCAATTAGGTTCTGGCGACAGTGCTGGCGTACTTTGGAGTGAAAGAAATTCGTATTAGCATCACCCCCTGAAGCCAATCCACTATGGACTTCTGTTTCCAGAAAATTTCTTCATGTCTGTAAGCAATAGTAAGCTGGCTCTCTAGTCAAGTCCCTCTCAGCTTCAATAGCAGCACAGAGCTCACAGATTTGACGGGCTGAATTCGTAGTGCCCTTTCTTGCCCACTCTACGTATTGGTGTCGGGCATCTTTGAACGCTGAGAACGGCTGGAATTGGTGAGTTCCTGTATAAACAGCTTGCCAGTGCTGAATAACAATCTCCTGCGCTTCCGCATTGCAGCACCACCGAGGGTCGAAGTGGAACCAAGGCTTACCCTTACTAGCTCCCGGAACAAATTGCAGCAGCAACTTCTGATGGTATGACCCCAAATCGGTTAGATGATTAACCTGCATAGAGGGCCAAACACCAATCAACGCATCATTAGCTAACCCGCGATCAAGTCTTTCCAAGATATGTGAATTAAACCCTGCCGGTTAGACCAAGTAAAAGGAGAGCCCTTAAATCCTAAATCCGCAAGTCCAGTAGAATCAAGAAAGGAATGAAAATGGTCCATGGCAGCGAAGGAAGGAAGGCGACCTCCCTATTTCTCAGAGGCAAACAAGATACAATTAATATCACTAATGACAACTATGGGAGAGACATGTGACAATACTAAGGAGATAATTTCATTGAATTGTTCAACTCTAAACTGTACATCATAATGAAGATGAACAAAGATAACCTTAATTACCCCCCCAAACCACATGCTGACATTCAACAAATAGGTAGTAATAAGACTCCCCTAGAACCCGCCACCTAACATTGGTAGAGCACGCTACAGCTAAATCACATGCCCTTCCTACTGTAGAAAAACAATGAACAAAAGGATAACCTAGACGCATCAACTTGTTATTTACAAAATCATAATCTCACTTGGTTTCACTAACGAAGAGGACGGATAGGGAGAACCACCCAATGACTCCGATCAGCGAGGGAATTGTAAGGGGAGAGCCCAGTCCCCTACAATTTCACGCCAAAATGCTCATTTGGGGGAATGGTCCCAGTTCTGGCTGGTACCCACCACAATGCTTGAGAGTTCTCCTCTGAATCCATATCCATGCCATCCGTACGAGGGCGCTTTGAGATCGGGGAAACCTGTTGCAGATTATGTGGGTGTTCCCTCGCCCTTGAATTGTTCGCAAAACTGAGCATGCCCCAGCTGGAGAGGTTGCTGCTGGACTGCTGAACCACCTCCCCCTGTCGAACCCAGGTGAAGAGTTTCTTACGCATCAGGGTCTTCTCGTTGACCTTGGGACCCTTAACTTGAACCAGGGCGTGCCACCCGTAGAATGGAGTAGCACCAGATAGCTCTTCACGGCGAGGACAAGACTGGCCTGCATGCCCCAGAATGCCACAGAGAAAGCAAAATTGTGGCAGGCGTTCGTACTTCACCACCGCTTCAAAATCCCTACGTCCAACAGTTTTGTGGGAAACAGGCACCGAGATTGGCAGGGGGAAGCGATTGTCAATCCCCACTTCAGCCCGGAGATACACAACACCAGATTGAGGGATACAATGCAACGAGGGAGAGGAGGTTCAACCAATCGCTTGACCCAAAAGAATGGCCATCTTCTTCATGCAACACTCAATTGGGACATCCCGGAAGTGAAGACCTAGCGGGACATGCCAGAATGGCTCCGAAACCGCTGGTGTAACTGTCACCCAGGGAACGAGATTACCCAGGAACTTTGGGAGGAACCAGGAATATAATTTCCTGATCCGATTGCGATCCGCCACACTTGGGAAGACAAATTGCAGCAGATCATCAGCCAACGGGCTAATTAACAGCGCATCGTGGCACCTCCAGAGATGCCCCAACGTGTGTTGGAGGCTGGGAATCGGGGGGATATCGCCGATTACTCGGCCCAGGAGGGAAAGATCCCTTCGGAGAGCACCAACAACCATATCCTCGTTGCCAAAAACTACCTTGTTGACGACAGTCATGGAGGGAACTGTTGATCGATTCGGCAACCGAAAAGGTAGTTTCGAAGGGGAAGAGAAGGCGTACCAAGGCGCAGGCGATATACATCGATGAACCCAAATTAGGACTTTAAATAGTCCCATCGGACGAGGCCATTTTCGGTGCCGCACCTGGGCGGAGTGGCCGGTTACGGCGAGTCGCAACGAGGCAATTTTTCCGATCCCACTCTCCACGATTGAGAGAACATGGGGGGTTTCTTTTCTTTCCCTACCAACAGGTTAGTTGTTTAAATCAAACTTTACGGTTTGAAGTATTCACATTGAAAATGTTCGATAAGTGTTGTGATTATTCTTAACAATTGTTACAAATATTTTCACTGAACACATTTGTGGATACTATTAGGGGCAGACCTAAGTGAGAAAATGGGTTGGCAATTGAAAAACGTTAAATAAAAATTTTGGACTAATTTTTTGTGTGAAATTTTATTTTGGTGATAGTAGTATTTGAATTCAAGATTATTTGACAATATTTAGAAATTTTGGTTTATAGTTCAATACCCTTGATGAAATTTATGGGTCGCCACTGAATATTATTTTTTTGGTAGAAAACCGCTGAATATTATTAATAGTTATCGTCAATACTTATGTTGTGGTGTATGAATATATTGCTTGTTTGACAAGAGAGTTCAACAATGTCGCTTTTAGGTCTGGCAATACAAGTATGTAGATTGTTTAAGTGGCGACAAGGGACGACATTTCATCAACTCAACCACTATGTCACAAAAAAATCCAGCTATATTGGTATTTTTTTTATTTGCGATAATACTAGGTTGTTTGCTTGATGGATATGGTGATGGATGATGATTGATCTAGATCTATCATGAACCTTGTCAAATCTCCATTGCGTGCTTCATGTATTTAGAGGCAACAAATCAGTGGGTCCCACGAACTTGAAATTTAACCTCACTATGTAGAAATTGATAATGAATTTTGAAGTCCATCATTTATGACAACCTACTCCTCCTGTTACCTTTCTCTTCTCATACCAATGACTATGAGGGCAATAATGATTTTTTTTCACTTCATACACACAAATCTAACTAATACAATCCGTAACGAAATCTATGAAGCAAACACGAGTATTTGTCAAGTCCATAATGAACCCAAAACTATCATATATCCATAGTTTTACCAAATCCAAATTTTACCAAAACCTATAAACAACGCGTAAAGTGTAGGATATTGCTATATTCGTAAAGTGTAAGATATTGCTATATTAGGTTTTAAAAAATGTTTATTGTTGGAAAAAATCTTGAATGAGCAAGGTTAAAACGGCAAAAAACAGATGAATAAAATCAACGAAACCCCAAACTACGCGCGCCCTTGGAGCGTGACTTGTCTTACTGCGGTCTATATTTTTACGCTGTTTAGCAATTTCCTCACTCCCTTCACGAGTTCAGTCTTCCCCTTGTTGTTTACGCAGTCACAGTACTTGCTTCCCTCCAGGAAGCAAATTGCTCATTGCTCACCCCTACCCATCTCAATCCAGCTACTGACTCTGGTCGCATATCCAGTCAGTCAGAATCTTGCAGTTGTCTTCCTGAAAGGTCGAACCCTAATCCCTCTTCTCTTTTTCCCTTTCTTTTTTTCCCCACCCTTTTCTAACCGTAGAGGTTCGACTGTTCATTTCTACCGATTTGGTCTCCTGCATGTTCGCAGTCGGGTCATTATCGAGTGAGTTTGCGATAGTTCTAGGGTTTTATGGTCCAATTCATCCGAGCTTGCGATCTGTTTGTATCTCTGGAAAATTCACTTGGTTGAAAGGGTACTCGTCCTTGGCCCGAGTGCCAGTTGGCTTAACTGGGAACTAGCGGGAGGCAGGCTAGTTTGTGTTCATAAACTTCAACTTTCCTTCAATTCGTTTAAGGTCGTTCTGCTTAGAGTGGTTTGTTAAGCGCTGTCCTGGCTCTAAATTGGCTGGGTCTCCCTGGTCTCTTCCATGCATTTGTTGCATTTGCCTCTAGTTTCTTTGGGCGAGTTGGATGGTACCCTTTTGTTTGTGGATGAGAACCATGGTGCTTTATTCATTAAATGCTTTGAGTCTTTGTCTAACCCCAAGATCTACACAGCACTCAACTTCATTCTCGTCCGACCTTTGTACTCTGGTGCTGTTTGCTTTACTATGACTATGCGTTTTGAATGGATTCTCTCTAGAGAAGTTTCGGTGCTTACTTGTGAGTACTTTCTCGGTTTCAGGTTCCACTTTGACAAATTGAAGTTAAGAGGAGATGGAGAACGACTCAGACAGCAGTACGGATATAAGTGACACAGAAATGGATGAGTACAAAGATAAAATTTATGAAGAAATCAAGGAAGGGAAGCATAAGGTGCAGAACCCAGATGAAACTTTTGCTTGCCCATATTGCCCAAAGAAGAGAAAGCAAGGCTACCTTTACAATGAAATTCTGCAACATGCTTCTGGGGTGGGCAAGAGTACTGGTAAGAGAACATGCAAGGAGAAAGCAAATCACCTAGCTCTGGCTCAGTTCCTGGAGAAGGATGTAACTGGGGCATCATCATCCAAATCGGTCCAGAATGGTGCTGATCCTTTAAATGGTTGCAACCGCAATGAGGCGTTTGTGTGGCCTTGGATTGGAGTTGTTGTTAATATTCCTACCAGCAGGGCACCGAATGGGAAATGTGTAGGAGCTAGTGGATCAAAGTTTAGGAATGAGTTAATTACTAGAGGGTTTAACCCAACTAGAGTTCGTCCTCTGTGGAATTATCATGGTCATTCGGGGACAGCCATTGTGGAGTTCAACAGAGACTGGCCTGGTTTGCACAATGCTCTTTCGTTCGAAAAGGCTTACGAGGCTGACAATCACGGAAAGAAGGATTGGCTTGCTGAAAATGAGAACAAGTCAGGTGTTTATTGTTGGGTTGCTCGCGCTGACGACTACAATGCTACCAACATTGTTGGAGAAAATTTGAGGAAGATTGCGGATCTTAAGACCATTTCTGATATCATGGATGAAGAAGCCAGGAAGCAGAATAGTCTGGTGTCCAATCTGACAAATTTAATTGAGATTAAAAATAAACAGGTGGAGGAGATGGCTGAGAAATGCAAGGAGGCGTCAGCTTCTCTCCAGAACGTGATGGAAAAGAAAGAAAGACTTTTGCAAGCTTACAATGAAGGTGTTCTCATTAGAATGCTCTGTGTATTTCTTTTGCATTGCATTGTTAGACATCTACAGTTCATATTTTAGTTGCTCTGCTCATGATGTTCTCTTTATTTACTTTCTGTTGCGATTCTAGAAATACGGAAAATCCAAGCAAGTGCGCGTGATCACTACCAGAGGATATTTAATGACCATGAAAAGTTGAAGTCTCAAGTGGAAACCCAGAAGAAGGAGCTTGAGATGCGTCAGTCACAATTGGAAGAGCGAGAAGCTAAAAATGAAATTGATAGAAAAACACTTCTAGAAGAGATGGAAAAGGTAATGTAGATAGTTCTGATCATACTTGTTCATGTTATGCTGGCTAGGTAAGGTCACCCGTCCTCTACTTTTGTGTTGTCAGCATGTCCACACACTTCCATGGATAATAACAGCAGACACTGGGTATGCCTACTCTTTGCTTCAAAGAGCTGAAAGCTAACCAGAATTTAAGACGCAGGACACTTTTTTGCGACTGAATATTTGGCTTCATTAAGTGTCTCACTTCTAGATTCCTAGTTCGGTGGAATGTGATTATATATAGATGACTATATATTGGATGAAAAATTTCCATATGTATAGAAGTAATTTGTTATAACTTTAGAGGCACAACTTAGAGCTTCATGAATCTTATGTATGTATGTATGTATGTATGTACCTTTGTACTTGAGCATGGTACTTTTCGCCATGAGCACTGACTTTTCTTCCCTTTGCTTGTCAGAATGCAACTAAAAATAGTTCACTTCAGTTAGCCTCCTTAGAGCAACAGAAGGCAGATGAGGATGTAATGAAATTGGCTGAAGATCAGAAGGTAAGCCCTTTTTATTTCCCCAGTCCTTTCCTATTCACCAGGCAGAAAGCGTAGAAACTAAAACTTTGGTTTTGGCTGTCTTGTTTTAGAGGGAAAAAGAAAAGCTTCACAATAGAATCCTCCAACTGGAAAAACAACTGGATGTGAAACAGACACTAGAGTTAGAAATAGAGCAACTCAGAGGCACTTTGAATGTGATGAAGCACATGGGAGATGATGGTGATGCTGAAATTTTGAAGAAAGTGGAAGCCATTATGAAAGATCTGAAAGAGAAGGAGGATGATCTTGACAATGTAGAATCACTGAACCAGACTCTCATTGTCAAGGAGCGCAAGAGCAATGATGAGTTGCAGGATGCCCGTAAGGAATTGGTCAATGTGAGTAATATTAAAGTTTCTTTGCTCTCGACTTCTTCCATCAGTTTTTCAGTTTGTTCAGGTGGAAGGGTATGTGATACTTCCATTGAAATTAATTATATTCTTGATGCATTATCTTATCACGTTACATCTTTGATTAGTGATGATACTCAGTGAGGAAAGCAAGGAGCATGTGCTTGTGATATAATGCCTTCCCTGAATTGAACTATATTCAGTTCGCCAATTCGATCCAAGCTCCAAATTAGACTGATTTGGTCCTTTGTGAACTGATCGTTGGACATCCTGCAGCCTGTGCCTAAAATAGTCAAGCACCAGATGGCTTCCTAAAAAAGTTGTCATGGTTCATTTTTTTATAGCTGATATTGCTAGCGCCCGCTTAACCAATTATATAATCCCTCATTAGACATATTATGATTTCAATTTTTGCTTGGATGGGTGTTGTTTCTATCTTTGCAGTGCTTGAAAGATATGTCAATCCGTGGTCCTATACGCGTCAAGCGAATGGGAGAACTTGATGGGGAGCCATTCCTTCAAGCCTTGAGGAAAAAGTATTCCGAGGACGAAGCAGACGAGAAAGCGTCAGAGCTTTGTTCGCTTTGGGTAGAGTACCTCAAAGATCCAGATTGGCATCCTTTCAAAAGGGTTGTGGTTGATGAGAAGCATCAGGTGTGTGCTTTTTGCATTGCTCTTCTAAGGTATCAAAAACTTGTTTCTCATTGGGTGTTCTTCTCCTAATTCAATTCATTTGTTTCAGGAAATAATTGACGAGGAAGATGAACGACTGAGTGGTCTGAAGAAGCAAGTTGGCGAGGAAGCCTACAAAGCTGTGGCGTCCGCTTTGATGGAGATCAACGAATATAACCCCAGTGGGAGGTACATAATTTCTGAAGTGTGGAACTACAAGGAAGGTAGAAGGGCGACCCTGAAGGAAGGGGTCACATTCCTGTTAGACGTGTTGGAGCGACGGAAGATGTGATGTGAATGCCGAACGGTACCTACCTGATACTGAAGCTGAACACTCATTTGAATGGTTCCTCATCTTTGTGATACTTAACCAGCACTGATAGTTCTCATCAGGAAACATCATTTTCATTTAACAGGTTAATGCCAAGGCGTCCAGGACACTGGGGAAGGGCGATAGAACTGCTAGAAACTTATCGGCTCGAGGTCAATCAGGTCATAAACGCCGTCGTGGCTGCTGCGTGTTAGTGTGTCGGTTGGAAATTTATCTTCTTAGCCTGAATGTTTCATGCAAGCATTCGGGTTGGTCTTTTCTGTACCTTGTTTAATAAAATTTTCCATGGATGATGATGATGTAGTCGACAAAAATTGGAAGAACTGCTGCGAGAGAGTAGTCCCCGTATTCCTGGAAGTTCTGATAAGCAATGATGATATGGTTAAGCTTGGAAATATTGTCTTTGTACATTTTTATTACGACTGTTTCTGTTACTGAAGTGGAACTGTGGAAGCTACTCTATTGGTGTCTAGAGGTAACCACAATTTGCAACCAGTGAAGAGCCCCGCGCCAACATGAATTTCTTAGGGCAGCAAGAGGGGACAGGTTATTTGGCGCACAATCGAACAACTAACATCAACATTTTCGATTTACAACCATAAAGTTCACCGTGATGAAATGTCGATTTACAACCATAAAGTTCACCGTGATGAAATGCAAATCACATCACGATGATCGCATAAAACGATAAATGAATGGTTTCAGAGTAGACTCTCACGTCAACAATAACATTAAGCAAACTGCTAGTTCATGGGATTGCTAATTTGCTATGCCATCTCTTAATGGAGTAGAAAATATAGCCAATAGAAAGGGAGAAATGGAATGAGGGGTGCCCAAAGCCCATGCAAAGGCCAACCACATCCAACTGCGTTGGTCACAGTAACAGTTAGCAGGCCCATGATGGCCCATTGGGCTTTGCCAGAAAGAATTAGAGACCATTTGGTTCGCTCCTTGCTCGTCCAAGAGCAAGACCCAGACAACCTCGTTATCCACTTCCCACCAGTCAAACGCTGTTGCTTTTCACTGTTCTCTCGTTAGTCCACCGAAGTTTCCAACGCGGTCGTCGGCGCGTCGAAATGCTCCCCTCTTCGCCGTCTACCTAATACATTGCTTGGCATCTGGTTCTCTCCTGCCGGAGTACGTCGTCATGGTGGCCGCGGCCTCACACGAAGAACACCGAAATTCTGATCCGTATCGTCAAATGTAGTCAAATTCTCTGGAAGAGGAATTTTCTTGGTAAGATCCTGCTGATTTCATCATCACGAGCTCGACTTCCCCCAATTCGAGTGAGCCTATTGAGTCAGCGATTCCTGGTCTGCTTTTAATTTTGGCTAGTTTGGTACTCGCGCATGCTCAATTGGGTGCTTCTCGGCCGCCGTATGATCAAATCCAGTGCTTGGTTCAGTAGTTCTCTTCTTCGTAGATTGGATTTGCTTGCTTGTCCCTTAGGCCCTGTTTGCTTCTCGGAAAAATTCTCAACGATTGGCGAGGAACTGAAAAATTAGGATGGTATTTTGTCAGGAAAGAGATTGGAATGTCTCGTTTGTTTGCTTTCTTAGCTATGATGAGGCAATTGTTGAATCCTGGATGCTGTGATTTGTTTTCTTCCCTGGTGTTAGGCCGAGGTAAAACCTAGCTCCCTCTTTAAGGTAGAGATCTTTATCTCCCAAGAATCTCTTTCCAATGCTGTTGCTTCTTAGTCTTCTCTTAGAGATGCCAAACAATCTATAGGCGTGTCGCTTTCTCTTTGTGCCTTTCTCCGTTTATTTCTTGAATGCTTCGACCTTAGGTGTTAAGCTGATTACAAGTTTTTCCAATGCCTTATGGTTGTTATCATAATTGGAAATCAACTGCTGATTGCTTTACTGTGAGAATGAATTTAGTGGATTCTGTTTAGGGAACGTTTCATTCATTCCATTGTTTCTGTTCACTTTCAGGGACCTCTTTGACCGATTGAAACAGGAGGGGAAGATGGAGCAGGATCCTCAGTGCAGTACAGATATAAGCGAGTCAGAAAGGGGTGAGTATGAACATCAGTGTTATGAAGAACTGAAGAACGGGAAATACAGGGTTGCTACTCCCGACGGGACATATTCTTGTCCATACTGTCCCAAGGGGAGTAGGCAAGACTATGCTTACATTGACATCTTCCAACATGCTTATGGAGTGGGCAAGAGTCAGTCAGCTAAAAGGACATGTAAGGAGAAAGCAAGTCACCAGGCATTGGCAAGGTACTTGGATAAAATCATTGGTGGTCCATTAGCAAAGCCAAATCTTCTAATTTATAATCTAAACAAAGAGAATATTCAAAATAATCGCACCGCCTCTTTTGCTTGCCCCTATTGTCCCGATAAGAAGAAAGATTACCTTTTCAATGAGATCCTCCAGCATGCTCTTGGTGTGGCAAATAGTGGCTCTGATAAAAGAACAAGTGAAGAGAAAGAAAATCACCTGGCATTGGCTAAGTACTTGGGAAAGCATATGCCAGGACCATCAGTAAGACAGAAAGTTAATGCTGCTCCAGAGAAAGTGAAAGTTGAAAATGGAGGTCCGTGTTCTTTTGCTTGTCCACACTGTTCCAAGAAGAGAAAGCGAGAAGACCTTTACAATATGTTCCTTAAACATGCTTCTGAAATGGGCATGACTAATTTCGCTAAAAGAGCTTGCAAGGAGAATGTATATCGCTCGGCATCGGTTAAAGACTTGGGGAGTGATAAAGCAGGCCCATCAGGAAGGCCAAAAGGTCAACACGATCCTGTAAATGGTTCCGACTATGACGATGCATTTGTCTGGCCTTGGACTGGTGTTGTGGTTAATATTCCTACCGCCAGGACAGCTGACGGGCAGCTCTTAGACGAATTTAATGGATCAGAGTTTAAGGATGAACTTGTGAGTAGAGGCTTTAATCCCCTTGGAGTGCTTCCGCTGCACAATTATCAAGGCCATTCAGGAACTGCCATTGTAGAATTTGATGGAGATTGGCCTGGTTTATATCATGCTATTTCCTTTGAAAAGGCTTATGAGGCTGATTTTCATGGGAAGAAGGAATGGATTGCTAATAGTGGGGACAAGACAGGCATTTATTGTTGGTTTGCCCGTGCCGATGACTACCATGCAACCAACATAGTCGGGGAACATTTAAGAAGAACGACAGATCTTAAAACAATTCCCGAGATCATGGAAGTTGAGAATAAGATGCATGAAAAACTTGTCTTTAGTCTAAGGAATACTCTGAAGATGAAAAATAAGAAGTTGGAGGAGATGACTCTGGGATGCAAGGAGGCCTCAAGCATTCTCAAGAACTTGATGGAAGATAAAGAAATGGATATTCAGGCTTACAATGAAGGTTTGTCTCAGGACACTTGTTTCTATTCTCTCAGATTGCTATTGGAGCTCAATTTGTTTTTTTTTTTAACCTCTACCTGAAATTCTTCTTATTTACTCAGTTGTTGTTTCCAAATTCTAGAGATACAAAAAATCCAAGCAAGTGCACATGATCACTTCCAGAGAATTATTAATGACCATGAAAAGCTTAAGTCACAGGTGGAAGCTCAGAACAAGGAGCTTGAGATACAAAGGTTAGAATTGGAAAAACGAGCAACGAAAATCGAAACAGACAGAAGAATGATGTTGCAAGAGATTGAAAAAGTATGTCGTGCGCTGATCTACTTGCATGTCTATACTACACTTAATATTTTGGTTTACTGGCTCTAAGACTCAGCATGTGTCATGAATGATTAGCCATTCTGTCTTCAAGGAGTTTCAGGACTAGATGTTGTCACTTAGCGGTTTAGGTTCTTGGTTTAGCAGATTGTTGTGTTGCATAGATGCTTTTAACAAAGATATTTCATCCAAGTTTGCTGTTGCTATTTCCTAGCGCTTAGTGTGGGTATAAAAAGATAGTGAAATGCATGCCTGTGGTTTTTCCTTTATGGCTCTCTACTTATTGTCTTGGCCCCATCAGAAAGCAGGCAGAAGCCGCTTGCTCCAGACAGCTCACTTGAATGAACCGAATACAAGCGAGGATTTGTTGAAATTATCTGAGGATCTGAAGGTTTCTCACTACTTTCAAAATGCTTCCAGATTTGTCATTGGCAAACAAACCTGCAATTGTGATTTACTGGTTTTATTAATGATTTTAGGAGGAAAAGCAAAAGCTTCACACTAGAATCATTCATCTGGAGAAGCAACTGGAAGCAAAGCCCAATCTCGAATCAGAAGTAGAGCAACTTAGAGGTGCATTGAATGTGACGGGGGAGAATGGCGAGGCGGAAATTCTGGAGCAGGTGGATGTGATACTGAAATGTTCGAGAGAACAGGGAGACGAACTTGACAGCTTAGAAGCAATGAATCAGACTCTTATTGTCAGGGAGCGGAAGAGCAACGACGAGTTGCAAGATGCCCGTAAGGAGTTGGCTAATGTGAGCAACATATATCACTGGAATCTGTAACCTTTCTTTTTTTACCTTAGTTAAGCCTGAGTTAGCAAATTGCCATCTTATGTTTGCTGTTTCCTTGTGTTGGTGTTGTTCATCTTTGCAGTGTTTGAAAGAAATGTCAACATACAGTGGTGATATACGTATTAAGCGTATGGGAGAACTGAACAGCAGGGCATTCCTTATAGCGATGAAGAGAAAGTACAACGGGGAAGAAGCTGAAGTCATGGCAGCAGAGCTTTGCTCATTGTGGGGAGAACATCTGAAAGATCCAGATTGGCATCCTTTTAAAGTTGTAACAATTGATGGGAGGCATCAGGTATGAGCGACTCCAACACTTTAGTGTTTACATAAACTATGTTCTTCTACTATATCCTTAAAGGACTGTTGTGTAGCGTGTGCGCTGAATTCGTTCAATCGATCGGAGTTTCAGGAAGTAATTGATGACGAAGATGAAAGATTGAAAGGACTGAGAGAAGAGGTCGGGGAAGAAGCTTACGAAACGGTCGCTTCGGCACTAACGGAGATCAATGATTATAATCCCAGTGGAAGGTACATGGTTTCTGAGGTGTGGAACCAGAAAGAAGGTAGAAGGGCGTCCTTGAAGGAAGGGGCAGCCTTCCTATTGGATGTACTTGAGCAAGGGAAAGGGTTGCTTTGAACGAAAGGAAAAATGCACAGTTTTCTTTGCGTTAAGATATGGAGGATTGGCTTGTGTTCAGTTCATGATGTGGTTTTTAACCGTCGCCGGTGAGTTTGTGTCTTCTCGGCCGGAGAGGTGGCTTATCATTGAGGCATTTCCCCCGGCGGCGGTGTTGATGTAGAGAACATTTCACTTGAATGATGAAATAATGGATGTATTGTGATTAGAAGAAACACAGATAACAACGTGTTTGTCTGTGTATGTATTGTTCCATTGTGTACCATGCTAAGTTTAATAATAGGGTCATATTACCATTCTACTGATTTTGGTAATGGATACTAATGCCTTAATTTGGGGAGGCTTGAGATTGGATGATTGGGTAATGGTAGGTAAAAAGTAATAAAATGCTACAGTCGACCAATCGTCAAACTGTTGATATAAGGGTATTGTTAGTCACTAAATGGACAATCATGTTAAACTTACGAGAGGTAAAAGTGCATGAGTTATGAGAGACATCCTTATTTCGAATACGACAGTACGACACTACTAAGGTTTGACTGTCATAGCAAAGTTTGATAACAATATTCAGATAAATCATATTAAAGGATATGTCAAATTAATTAGTGTTATAGTATTTTTGACTTAATTCATGATTTAACTGTGGTACGAACGACTCATACTACCCTATCAATTTAGCCTCTAAAAAAAGTAAAAAGAGGGTTTTCCGACCTGATACGGTGCGGTTCATAAACAACGAAGCAACTAATAAACAAATATCTACAGTTGAGTCGCAGCGTTTCGTAGGCGTCTCCTCCATCTCCGTCTTCCTCGCTCCTCAGTCCACTGCTGTACTGATCAGAGTTCCCGGAGAAGCTCCGCAGTTCATCAGGTGAGTCCCAATATTCAACGGAGCTCACCCGCATCTTTGTTAATTAATCGAACGGAAACTTGATTTTGGAGGTCCGCCGCTGGGTCCTTCGTGGAGACTGATTTTTATGAGTTCAGTTTTTAGTTCCGATTGTTGTTTGGCAAGCCGGAAAATGAAAGGAAATGTGAGAAAGGAGGGAGGAGAAGTTTCGAGAAACGTTGTATTTTGCTTGTGCAAATCACTGAAAAACGAGCGCTGGCAAGATCAGAAAGATCGGCTGGCATGCTGGGAATTGAATCACGAGTCGGATGATTTTCCTTCTCAACTTCTGCAGTTTTCCTGTTTGGCCCCAAAAATTCCCGGCAACCAAACGCCGGGTTTCGTGAATTTCCCGTCGCTAGTGCAAGACGTGATGATAGGTTCTTCAGGAAAAGAATCCTTTGAAGAGCTCTTAGTGTGTTGTGAGTTATTCAACTGGGTAATGTGATTTCATGGATTGATGTTTTGTCCATACCTCCTGTCCTAGTTCGAAATGGCAGGCTACAATACCATTGAGGAACTCAGGAAAGCTGGGAGCCTGGTGGGGAACCTTGCAAGGACGATTGACTGCAAAAACAAAGATTTAAGGGAGTTGGAGAACAAATACGACAAGGTTATGAGGGATAATGCTCGTCTTCTTCAAGCACAAGCTGAAGGTAATAACGTCTGCTAGCTTTAGAGCAATGTGGGTGCTAAAATTGTTTTGTTTGACATCTTGCTGGATAATTTTGAGCCTCTTGACTTGCCATTCCTGATCAACTTCATCCCTACAACTGTCTGAGTTTTCATCTTGGGAATGCAACTCAGTTGTTTCTGTTGATTTCATACTTTGTTGATTCTGATGATTCCTAGGTACCAAGGAAATTCAGCTTCTTAAGGCTCAAAATAAAAGTCTGCAACAAAATCTAGATTCTCAGAAGATTGAAATCCAGATGCTAGAGTGTCAAGTTGCTCGCAGCAAGATTGAGAAAGAGCAGGTAGCCGCCATAACCTTTGATTGATCTATCAGCTGATTGAGATTCTGCACAAAGCGGAATTTTGTTGCCCTAGATTTCAGTCTCCCTATGAATGGTTATTTAGCTTCTCTGAGGTTTCTGTGTTGTTAAGATAAAGAAGGGTGCATGCCCTGTGATCAAACTAACATGAGACTGAAATTGTTGAAGGCAAAACTGGCCCCAGAAAGTTGTGAGTTGAAGAAACAGCTGGCAGAGAAACAAGGGGAATTGCACTCACTGGAAGAACTTAACAACACTCTGATTGTTAAGGAGCACAGATCTAACTCCGAACTGCAGGCTGCTCGGAAAGAATTGATAGATGCAAGTGCAGTTACATCCAACTCCATCTCATTTGTGCAGCTAGTGGTTAAAGTGGGGATTGCCTGAGGCTTTAATGATGTCTGACCAGTTATTTTGCGATACAGGGATTGCGTGATTTCTTGGATGATCAGAGCGGAATTGGGATTAAGAACATGGGAGAAGTCAATCCAAAAGCTTTTGAAGAAGTTTGCTTGAAGAAATTCCCTGTGGAGTCTGAGGCAAGATTGATGGGGATCTGCTCATTGTGGCAGTCTCAAGTTAATAACTCAGAATGGCGTCCCATCAAGCTTGCACTTATTGATGGCAAACATCAAGTAAAAGAAGCTTCCTCTCTTCCTTAACTTTCTGAACTTCTAGTTGTTTGCCATTCGTCACCAATCCACCGGTACTTAGGCATAGCTAACCTGGCAGATGTAATGCCTTAATCTTTAGAGCGCAGCATGGTGCTGAATGTAAAATGCTCTTACCCAAATATCTGACCTCTTGGCTCTGAACTCCAGGAAGTGATAGACGAGGATGACCCAGAACTGAGGAAGTTGAGGACGAAATGGGGCGAGGGGCCTTACAATGCAGTAGCGAATGCATTAATGGAGTTGAATGACTACAACCCAAGTGGAAGATATGTAGTTCCTGAACTCTGGAACTTCGAGGAAGGAAGAAAAGCCACGCTACAAGAGGCAATAAAGTCTGTATTTGAACGAGCGAAGACCTTCAAATCTCCGAAGCGAAAGAGATCACAAAGCAGCAGCTTGCAGCTAGTTTAAATTTCTCTTTGAACAGATTGTAGATGTCCAGACTGTCGCTCCCTCTGCATTTATATACCACTGTAGCTCTTTGATATGTTGCCATGACTCCAGACTTCAATATTGTTACTTAGCTATATCGTTAGTCATTAACCATAAAGGATGAAGGCAATAGCCAAGAAGGAGAGTATTGTCTGATAATGGGTACAAATTGATCTCTTGCCATTGTCCTAAGTATCGTCTGAAGCTCTCTCTATAGCAATGGTGTAACTGATGCTTCATATCTATACTACATGCTACTGCTAGACAAGTAAACAAATGCTGCAAATAACACCATAGTGGAAATTTCAATTCATGGGCTTTAAATGGAGTCCATTAAGCCTATAGATCCAGAACCACTGACCGAAACACTACTTCGCAAAATAACAGGCCCAGCCCAACTTCAATCACATTCAAACCCTACTTCTCCTTCTCCAATGCTATTAAGCTTGACGGCCACACGAGACGAATCACATCCTTTTCTCCCCTTCCTGCCGCCATTAGGGTTTCCACAATGCTACCACTTATCTTCGCGTTTGTTATTTATATCCTGCAATCAGTTTCCTGGGCAGTGATCGAAAAGAGAGAGGCTTGAGTGGGGGGATCTTCTGATTCTAAAGAGAGGGAAAATCCCATTTCAGTTTCAAGGGTGGAGCTCGGAGATGGCGAAACGAGCAGTAGACGCCGCCACTCTTTCTGTATAAAGAATGAAGCTTTTGGTGTCTCTCCGTTTCCGCTTTCCTCCGTTAGTTTTATGTCCCTTCAATTTGAAATGGGGTCTCATTTATCCCTCTCCCGCTGTGACGGTCCTATTAATCTATACACTTGATATGAGCTCTGTGATTGTTGTTTTCTTTTGTGCAGGCTAGGTGTTCGGTAGAAGTCTTGTGTGGATTTTTCGGATTGACTTTGTATCGCATTTGTTGTTTTTTAATGTGAGGAATCAGCCTTAGGGCAATTTAGTTGTGGTTCCTTGCTGTGGCGACGATGCACACATAGAAAGCTCGGTTCTTTCTTTGTTCTCCTCCATAGGGAAGCTCTCGAGCTGTTGTCCCTTTTGGTTGGCGAGCAAGGTTTGTTATCGGGCAGCGGCCAGACAACCGTAGGGATGGTATCCACAGATGGCGGGTTCCTAGATCCCGTTTGTCTACTGATTCCATCTCACATTTTCCTTATAAAGTTTATACTCAATATCCTCAACTGGTTTTCTTTCATGTTGGATGATTCATTTATTAGGGTTTTCCCCCCTTTTTCCCGACTATCGACTTTTCCTGCTGTGGCAGAGATAACTTGTTTCCTTCGTATTTCTGTCCCAATGATGCGATTGATGTTTTTATTAAAGTAGTGGACTGATTATTCGTGTTGATGAACTTCATTTCTGAGGGAATTGCTCGATTTTGTGTTCGGAGGAGAGCTGCTCCTCTCTTTCCCACAACTTATTCTGAAATTCTGGCGTTATTGCTGATTATCGTTTAATCAAGTGATGAATACGGATTACATATCTCACGACGGTCGTCTGAGACACTTGAAAAGGTGTTGTTGCTGATTAATCCATTATTCTGATGATTCTTTTATCATAATTCTAAATGGTTTTTGTCAATTACTCGAATCAGTTTATATTGCCTCTTTCAACTATGTTTGTTTACTATAGTAAGTGCATACAATTTCCAATTTTTGTTGACTATGGTAAGGGTAATACAGTTTCCAAAATATGGTGTTATTGTAAGTTATACATGCTCCTTTTTCATAGGAAGCTGCAAGTTGCCCAGTTAGAAACAAACATCTGCGTAAGTTACTGTGTTTCAGAGGTTTCATTGTTGAGCAATGCAGGAGTTGGGTTTTGCTAATTTTGCTGCTGGTCTACAGACAGGACTGTCTTCTCTAATGACTTCATATATGTATTATTGGATTCCTGCCTGCCTGCTTTTATTTTGTAAGAATGAAGAATAGCTGGGCTATCGTTTACACAATCTGTATATTGTCATCTATAAATCTTTGGTGTTTGCACTGAGAGATGATTATACATTTATACTGCTCTATCCTCGTAGCGCGATGAAGAGCTTTGTTCGGAAGGAATTCAGTGCCATTACTTCGTGTTGGATTAAATACCACGGATTAAATACCAGTGACAATAGGGGTGGGCATGCAGTTCGGTAAACCCGAACCGACCCGAAACCGAACTTAACCGAACCGAAACTGAAATATTATTTTTCGGTCCGGAATTCGGAAGACAAAAAGCTGTAGTTCGGAAACCAGAGTACACAGACCGAACCCGAATTCCGAAAGACCGAACCGAGAAACCGAACTAAAACTTAAACCCACAATCTTCAACCCAACTAACTACTTAAGGCTCTCACAAAACCCAAAACTCTCTGCCCAAATTTAAACAGCCCAAAATTAAATCCCTCAACCAACAACTCCTCAATGTCTGCAACCTAACCCACTCAAATCAAACACAACCCATCTCTAAGCCCACAACTCCATGTCTGCTGGCTGCTGTTTACCTAACCCTAACAAAAATACCAACATGGCCGTCGCCGCTGCCGTCTCCTCCACCGCTCGTAGGCGTCGCCGAACTCTCCTCTCATCTCTCGACTTTGTCGATGCCCCTAATTTAGAGACGTCGTCGAATTCCCCCTTCTTTCTGTTCTCTTCTCCAGGAAAACTCGCCGGCCACTGGAGTTCAAGTCGAGACCCCTTTCCCCTTTATCCTCTCTCCGCTCCCTTCTCCCTGACACCATAAACCCAAATCCAAACATAAAAATCCACATGCACGAAAATCACTACTGAAAATCAATCGAGAAACCACATGCATGTTGAATGGCTTACCCGATCCTAGATCCTATTTCCCTCTTCAACGTCGCCTGTCAGTGGGATTGGAGCACCGCAATCCTACTGCCGCTGCCCGTCCGCACACACCGAGATCTTGTCGTTCCTCCATAGATGGCATTGACCCACCAGGATAAAACGAGAGTAACATATTTGAGGGAGAGGAGATAGAGTGGTGATACCAGACTATGTGAGGAGCAATGAGATTTGGATTGGGATGGGAAGCTTGTTTGCTGGGCGAGAGAGAGAGAGAGAAAAGTTAAGAAGAAGAAGATTGGGGAAAGCTTGTGTTGGTGGGGTGAGCAGAGAGAGAGAAGGTAAAGAATAAAAGAATCTCTCTCTCATCTGGCCCAGCGACCAAAAGACATAACAAAAGCACAAAAATGGACAGACCATACATTTTTCGGTTTGGAGTAGAAAATCGAACCGAACCGAGCTATAATTCGGTTCGGCCAAACCGAGCTATAATTCGGTTCGGCCAAACCGAACCGAATAATAGTTCGGTTCGAATTCGGTTGATGGATGATGTGATTCGGAAACTCGGGGTATACCAGTTCGGTTCGGTTTGAACCGAACCGACCGAACGCCCACCCCTAAGTGACAATGACATTAAATTGTGTCATGTTTAGTTACTAGAAAAATTTAATAGAAAAATTTAATATTAATTTTGCTCATTTAAATTACTAACATAGGTCACATTTATTCACTTTCTTGTTAGCTTTTGGCCAATTCCAGTCTCGAGTTATTTATAACATGTAATATTTAGGCACTCAAATTATTGAACTTGCTCTTATTAGTCATTCTACTGTTAATTTTCGTCGAATGTGAAATGGAGTTGGATGAAAACTAATGAGAGAGTAACTAAACTTCATTAATGAAATGAAGTTTGATGGAAACCAACAGGAGAGTAGTAGACTCTCTTAATGAAATGAAGTTGGACGGAAACTAATGAGAGAGTGGCTTAATTGACTTGCTTTAGTATTCAATTGATCAAAGTTAAAAAAAATGCTTTCTCTCTCTTTCCCTCTCTCTATCTACCACTCTCTCGATCCAGTTCTTCAAGCTCAATACTCTACAGCCTTTACAGCTGCTATCTATGGAGCAATCAATATCCCCACTTCAAATCCCAGTAGATCAATTAAGAAGAACTCAGAAAGTAATAGGGGAATAAAGAAGGAGATTCGCAACATTGAAGAGGAGATCTCACAGCCCACACCCATGGCCAATGAGCGGAGTATCAGTACAGGAGGAGAGATTAGAAGAGCCACAAATCCGCCGCCCAAACCATTTGAGAAGAGGTCAATCAACAAGTAGAGAAGTAAATTTACAACCGACAGAGGAGATTTGGGTATTAAAGGTTGGAAGAAAGAAGTAGCAAACATTAATGGCAACCTCCCTGCTACTTCTCTCTGACTTAGAGCAACAAGAGGAATTTACTGCTGCCGAGCACTTGAGACAGGGGGAAGGGGAGGAAACTCTCCGGCAATGATTAGAACTGACTCTTACTTATTACTGAAGAAAGAGTCTGCAGGGATATACCGAACAGGTATTAAATTCACTGACCAAATTCACAAGTCCCAATACACAAGGAAGGAGCAGAAGGTAAGAGAGCTTACCAATAGAAGGAGTAGCCCGGCGGATAGCTGCTGCCATAAATGGCTAATCCAAGGTAAAATGGAAAAGAGGAGAGACGGGGAGGGGCAGTGGAGATGACAATCAATGCAGAATGCATTAACTATTTCAGAGAGATCCTATTCTCAACCATCCAGAACCCCTTCGGCCTATAAAAGGAATGCACCAGATGAATCAACTTCATCAACAAATCTCCCAAACACAAAGTCAGACAACAGACTTCTTGTCACAGTACAAACCAAATTCCTCACCTTTTCTGGCAAAAGTGCTAACCAAAATAGGAAAGGAGGAATGGAGAATCATTCAAAAAGCCCGAGGGGAGAGAAGAGTCACCTGATCTTGAACGTGAGGCCGACCATTGTTGGGGCAAGAGGCAGTGGCTTGGCAATGTTGTTGGGGAAATGGATCACTGATGTGAGCATTAACCTCCCAAAAGCAAGAAATGCCGCCGTCAACAAATGGAGAGCCTATGGGGAAGTCCAAGTCACCAAGAAAGACGAAAATCTCTTCGTCTACTCTTTCCAGTCAGCAAAACAAAGAGATGCTGTTTGGGAGGCAAGGCCATGGAATCTGAGCAATACCCTTGTCGCTCTGAAGAAATGGGACGGAGAGCAAAAAGCAGAATCTTCCGACATCACCACGGTCACCCTCTGGGTCCAGATGCATGATCTTCCACAATCCCTAAAAGATGAGGAGGTAGTACAGGCAGTCGCGGCTTTCATCTTTC